CGAAAAGCCAAATTCTCAGAGGCAGAAAGTAGAAGGGTGGTTGCCAGGGGCTGGGTGGTTGCCAGGGGCTGGGTGTTTAATGGGTGCAAAGTTTTAGTTTGGGAAGATGAAAAAGTTACAGAGATGAACTGCTCAACATGAATCTGCTTAATACTGACGAATTGTACACTCGACATGTAAATTTTATGGGTTTTTACCACAATTGATAATTAAAAGTATTAATAATAACAGCAGCAGCAGCAGCGCCAGCAACAACAAAGCAGCCTGCCTGGGAAGCACCTGAGGTGAACCCATAGGCCACGGTGCCAACCAGCTGGGCAGACTGAGACCCTCTGAGAGCTCTCTGGGGAATACTGCACGACTGACGGCTGTTTGACAGGACCATCCTCAGGATCCCTGCATCCCACGCCACCCCTTCTCCCCGCACCCCTTCGTACCGTCCTTTGGTCAGCTCTGGCTTTGCCCGGCCCCGAACACTGGTCTTTCCCCGGGGCTCCCCCTGGAAGCAGCATCCTCAAGCTTCCAGCCGCTGCTGACTCTCACATCCACCATCCTCTGGGCAAACTTTCTCCTGAGCTTAAAACAAATATCCAGCCCCTGGCCACACGCACCTCTACCTCAGAGGTGGATCTATGACACCTGGAGTCATCTTTACCCTCTAAACCCGCAAACCCTCAGCCTCCCGTGGCAGCCTGGCCTCATCTGAGTCCTAGCTGGGAGCCTCCCTGCCTTTTCCTTCGGCCCATGCCAACCTCCCGCCACTCCGGCCCCACAGCGCCCCAACACCCCCTGGCCAGGTCCGCAGCCCTCCCCCCAGCCCTGTGGTGCTCAAACCGCCCTGGGGAAGGACCCGCAGCAATGCCCGCACACCTCACGCTGCTGCTCCTCACCTGGCTGCCTCACCTGCTCTCCTTACCTACGACATCCTTCCCCTCCCCCATCCTCAACCTTAGCTGGTGCCTAATAAGCAGGATCAGCTCTGGGCTCGGCTCTTTCAGAAATCCCTCCTTGGCTCCCCCTGCCCCACCCAGCCGTGGTCCCCCCACGCTTTGTGCTCCCAAGGGCACCCTGCTACCACTGAACTTGCGCCTTGCTTTAAAAATCACCTGCTATGGGCCTGTCTGCTCTCCAGGACAGTGGGTTGAACTTCACAGGTTGATCTTTTTAACCCTAGCATTTTGTCCATGGTAGGTCTCTAAATAGCGAATGAATGAATGAGAGGTTCATAGATAAATTCTCCTACAGACGAGGCGAGTCCTTGGTATGTAAACAAAATCCTGACTTTGGCAGAGATCAATTGGCCCCCCAGTATCCATCCTCCCTTCTTCCTTCTAGTGATGAGAACCCCTTAGTTGTGGCTGGACCTGAGGCCACCCGACCAGACACTGTATCTCCCGGCCTGGGTGTGCCCATGGGATTAAGCTCTGGACGCAGGAACACAAAGGGACATGACACATACAACTTCAAAGCACCTCCTTAAGAGGAAGCTGCTTGGCCTCCACACACTGGAATGCAGAATGCAGGTCAGCTCCAACCACACAGATGAGGACAGGTGACAGGACAGAGGAATCTGGGGCAGAGCTGGTGGCCCAGGCCCACCCTCAGGACTACTTGGGGAGGAGTAACTCTTCCATCTTCCTTAAGTCATTGTCATGTTGTCTGTGTTAACACATGGACTGCCACACTAGAAAAAAAATTCCCTTGGGGCCATGGTGTTTTATTACGAAAATAGAATAAAAACTTCAAAAACAAAACACTCCTTTCTAATTTAATAAAAAATTTGTTATTTTTGGTTGTTTTCTGTGTGTGTGTGTGTGTATCATATGCAACTTGAAAAATAAGTTCTCACGCCTCCCAAGGTGAAAACACGTGTGAGTTACACATGCTTCAGGAGGCCCCAGGCTCAAAGCCAGCATGAGTTAAATAAAACTCACATGGCAGTTAATATGTTAAAGCACCCAAGTGAATTTTCTGGTTCCTTTCCATATTACCTCTCACCTAATTATGAGATCATATTTTTCCAACACCAATTCATACCCAATTTTGTTTCTACTCTTCTCCCTAAACTCTGTGGTTTCACTAAGAGAAGTAAACAGCTGTTGTATTTAATAGGAGAGGGTCTGGCCATTATCAATTTAAGAATTAACAAAAATAAAATAATTTACTTAAATTTTCATTTTAATTTGTTGCATTTCTTGGAATCAAATCCAATGCCGTCGATTGAATACCTACTATGTTTAAGGTGCTGTGGAGGGACTAAAGGAATAGTCTGCCTTCCAAGAACCTGTGACCTTCATGAACAGAGTGCATGCGTTCATGAGTGTGTGTGTGGCCAAAGGTGCCCGTGCTGTATGCCAGAGAAACAAAAATAAACTTCTATTACAATAAAAAAGAGAGTGACTCTGGGAAAGAAGAAATCATGAATTTCAGGGATTAGTTTAATGGACTTTCACTGAGGACTCAGGCTAAGTACATACAACCCTGTGCTTGGTTCTGAGGAATCAAAAACGAAAAAGACACCATCTTAGTCCCTGCTCTTAAAGTTCGTAGAAGAGACAGAGACAGGTAACAAATAATAATACAAAGTGAGAAGTATACAGTAGACGTCTGCACAAGATATAAAAGGGGAACCAAAGGAGAAGTGGCTTGGCACTGCGGCTCACGAGGGTGCGCAGAAAGGCTCCTGGGGACGCAGGAGCTCAGCAGGAAGGCGGGATCAGCACATGCAAAGCCGCAGAGGCCCAGCAAGGGGACCCCGCAACCACAAGGCATCTGAAGTTACTGGCAAATAAAGCACAAGGGGTGAGTGGCAGGAGATGAAGCTGCAATCCAGTAACATGAACTTCCCTTAATAATAAACTGGTGCAGCTGCCCTGGCAAAAGGGAACAAGTGTTGGAGGTCCTACTGCTCTGCCGGCTCCTCACCCTCTCAGCTGCCTGCCGTCGCACCCCAACTCCTGAGACGGGCAAGGAGCAATTCCAACACACAGCCTCCATTCCTAAATACAACTGCCACTTCAGCTTAATTGGGAACCTCTCAGCATGCTCCCCCAGAACCTAGAGTCAGTTTCAAGCATACAGGGGTCTTCCAGCTGAGCCTGTCTGGAGAGCCCCAGGGCTTCCCAAAGAAGCAGACACACCCAGCCCATGGCAGCACCCTCCCAACTCTCATTTTTCTTGAAGGGAACAAAACAAGAAGGAACATTTTATAATGTCTATTGTTTCCCACCAAGAAGTACCCAATGCCTTCTCCCCACCGTAAACCAAACTCCGGAACACTGTCCTGCTCCAAGATGCACTGAAAACTACTCTTCCCAGAAGACCAAAGGGTGTAAGTCGGGAAGAGAGACAATGAAGAATACCCATTTGCACACACACACACACACACACACACACAAAAAAATTGGCCAATAAGAAAAGACTGGACAAATAGTAGAGGAAGTATGGAGCTATATTCCATTAACTGTACTTGGTCAGCAAACGATGTCACTATCCACGTTAATGGCAAGGGCTATTAATATGGATTAAATAGGGAAGGTACATAATCTAGAAAACATAAATCTGCCTTTGCAAGACAGAAGATATTTCTAGGAGCAGGGACACATGCAGGAATGTACAGAAAGGTATGCTCTTCATTCATACATGAATAAGTAAAGGCAGATTCATGCCCACATGTGTTCTGATGTCATCACTGATTATGTAATTTGGGGTCATCCCCAAGGCCCGATTGAGCCACTTAGCACTTGCCTGGACCGAACTGAGGGACTGATTGTTCAGTTCCCTGGAGCAGCCTGCACCTGGCCACCCCACTAGTGCCTCCAGCAGAGCAGACGGAAGAGGCTACCAGTCAAGGGTGCCTTCAGGTGAAATCCAGAAAGGTTTGGTAGAAGACAATCACTAAAAGTTAGGTTTCCAGAAGGGATTTTGAAACTCTTTAAAAGCTGCTTGTAGCTCTGATTACCAAAAAACTATAGCACGAAATTCTTTCCTCTCCCCTGAGAAAGTGTGATGCTCCAAGTAGGGCCACCTGTCCTCGCAGAGACGCAGGGGGTTTGATGAGGTCTGTATGTGAATCATTTGGAGACGAAGCACAATAAACCTTATTCTCAGAACTCCTTTGCCTTGAAAACCATTAAGCCTGCTGGTGTTTCCTTTAATATTTCCAACCCTTTATTTTCCAGCACCCACCAACAGAAAGAAAGCAATCTGTCAAACACACATGTGTCTTGTCAAAGAGTTCTTTCCAGAGAGAACAGAGAGAGGGCAATTTATCTACAGGGAAGCACTTTTGTCTTGAAGGCCACAGCTACGTGGTGTGGCATTGTTAAAGCAGTTTTCATTCCACTTGGCTGAAGAAAGAAGCCCCCACAGGGCAGCGTGAGAGGGTAGATCTTCCTTTACCCCAAACCTTCAGCATTATTCAAAGCAGCTTTAGATTCAGCTCATGCCTATTTTAAACATTATTAAAATGTACCTGTATGTGTAGATTTCTCTCTCCATAATCCTTCTGGGATATTACATTATAAATCAAATCAAAAGTTCAATTAATGACATCCAATTAAAAAAAACAGATTAAGAGACTCCTACAGAAAGCACCGCGCTAAGATTAATGAAAATGTTATTTCAACATGAAAATTGCCTTAGAACTTGTTACCAAAATTTTGAACGTTAATTATCTTTGCTATTTTAAACCTTGCCTTTAAAAGTTACTTCTTCCACTCCTTTTTATAATACTTCATGACAAAGCCACGATAATCCCACACAATTATATAATTCTCTTAAATTAAAAAATATATATACAATAATTTAGAATATGGTGCTTTGAGCATTGGGAATTAACCAAAGCATTTTCAACAACAGTCAATATTAAATAAGCAAAATGAGTCAGAAGAATTATTCTCATCTAAATAAAACTGATTCTCTACAGATTAAGTGCTTTGAAAACATAAATGTATCAAGAAATACATAATTAGCAGATATCCCAAACCATCTCTACGTACCTGTTTAAGATTTGCTGCCTGCTTTAAGATGTTTTTTTTTAATTGCTCTGCTCTCTTTGCATGAAAAGGATTACTTTGACTCTGGATGACAAATACAATTCCTTTTAAGTCTAGAACCAAAAAAAAAAAAAAAAAAAAGTTTTCAGGCATTTCTTTTTTAACGACTGAAATAAACTTTAAAACAAGTGAAAAAAACAACAGCTACAAAGCAAGCCTTCAAGCAATAAACTCTTGGGGAAAAAAATCAATTTATATGTAATTCTAGAGATAAAATATTCTCTCTTTTTAAAGTGATTTCCAAACTTCCTTCCAAAAGTTAGCAAGTAAATAAGCTGACTGTACTAGACCAAGTCCATGGTAACAAACTGTGAATCTGCTCCTGCATCTGTCAAAAAGAATGACTACAAATGTGTGAAAACATGAAAATGCCCACAAAACTAACCTTCCTAGTAGCTGGAAATCTAATGTTTACAAGTAGCTTCTTAACAACCCCACACGATCCTACGCTGTGCTGCTACCTGTTAGGAGCCGAATTGTGTCCCCCCCCAAATTCGTATGTTGAAGTCCTGACCCTCACCACCTCAGAATGTGACCTGATTTGGAATCAGGCCTTTTTACCAAGGTCATTAGGGCAAGCCCTATCCAACGTGACTGGCGTCCTTACAAAGAGCGGAAAGTGGACACAGAAGCAGACATGCCCAGAGGGAAGATGATGCAGAGACACGTGGAGAAGATGTGTCTCCTGGAACAGATCCTTCCCTCGCAGCCCTCAGGAGGAACCGACCCGGCAGCCCACACCTTGACCTTGGACTTCTAAACTCTAGAATCGTGAGACGGTAAGTTTCTGTTGCTTCAGCCACAGTACGTGGTACTTTGTTATGCAGCCCTAGCCCACTACTACACTACCTCGAGAATGTTCTGGGTGGCCCTTTAACGTGACACTCAACAGTGACTGCATATGTCCGGCAACTCCACAAAGGTCTGCAAATAAGTAACTATAATCCCTACCCTATCTCACAAGGCGCGCAGGCAGGATTAAGTGTTATCTCCAGGAAACCGGCCACAATTCCACAGCAGCAGGGCTTTGGCAAGAAGTGCTGCGTAGAAGCCCACCTGCAACGACACACGGGCAGTATCTGCCAGCCCACTGGAGACTCGCTTCAAGGCAGCCAGCTTTTTACAACAGTGGGCAGGAGGAGATCTGAGTATGTCCTACCCACCTGGCTGGGGAAGGCCACCAGAGCGCTTGCCAACAGAGGTGGCTGCTCGGGCCACACACTGGAGAAGCTCATTAGGCCTCCTAGGTTCCGAGCTTGTAATAAAGAAACAGAAACAGCCACTGAGTCAGCACTCAGCCACCAGACAGGGAGGTGGCAGGAGACAGCACCTAAATTGTAGCCTCCAGCTAGGTTTACAACAAATCTAAGTGGGGACCTTTCCCCCACCACAAATCTTTTTTTTCCCCAACACCTCAGCTCAGGGACACTAATGTGGTTTTAATTTTATTCCATTATTTTTTATTGTTCTTATGTTCAGTTCTAGGATTCCATTCATTTACTCATTCACTCAAATATTTATCCAAACGGATAGCTCCACGGTGAGCTATTTAGATGCTAAAAATAACCCCAAATGCTCTTTGGCTAAAACTCAATAAAAAAATGTGAAAAGAAATGCTGAGCAAACCTACTGAATGTGACCTAATTCCTTTTCCTTAGGAGTTTATATAAATATGAATCTTCCACATACCCGACTCCATTTCAAATTGGCTTCTGGGCTTTACACACTGGACACATGGATAAGGCTTAAGTGAGTGCCATATGTTTCAAATGAAATGTTACCTTGGATCTACAACATCTGGAATATTACATAAACTAACATATCAAAAGGAATTATAAAGATTCATTTATATTAAGAATGGCGTAAATAAGCTTCAGAGAATACACTTTTGCAAAATTTATAAAGTTGAAATAAATGCTCCCAGTGAACCAGAAATTCCACTGCCATTAATCATCTTTAAGAAACCCTCACATGTGTGCACCAGGATGTATAAGAGTGTTCACAGTGGCACTGGGTAAAAGGAAAAAAATGGAAGCAACCCAAATATCCACTAATAAAATACATAAACTGGAATACTATACAACAATCAAAATTAACCAGCACTATATGTATCAATCCAAATGGATACTGTAGATGAACCCCACACATACAATGCTGAAAAAAGTTTCAAAAGAATAACTATATAAATCAATAGTTTGCAAAAATATAAACACAAAAACATATATAAAATGGGTATGTACTGTACATATACATATCATGGGAAAGCATAGAAGATTAGACAAGAATGATAAACACCAAATCAGGATACCAGTTAAAAGGTTTCAGCTGAATTAGTAATGTTTTATTTCTTAATCTAGGCAGTAGATACATAGATGTTCACTATTTTAGACTGTAACTTTTTATATGTTCAAATTATCTCATAATACATTTTTTTGAAAGAGCAGATCCATCTGTCAATCGGTTCATCCTGCGCTCACCACAGTAACCAACTCCTGCCACTTCTACCACTCAGCGAAGCGCCCACTGTTCTCACGAAGACAACAGCTCTTCCATGCAGGCAAGAGGCTTCACAAGAAGAGGAAAAGCAAATCCTTTCTGTTTTCACACTCCTGGGTCATGCCCTGTGAGTTGTGTCTGTCCTCTCCTTAACACAGCTACCAAGGAACTATGCCAGCCCCTCCCTCTCTCATGGACTTCAATCACGCACCCTCCACATGTTCATTCAGCAAACACCTTCTGAGTACCTGCGAAGTGCAGGGCTCGGGGTACAAAACTGAGTGATCACGGTTGCAGCAAGGGTCTGACACTGATTCAGGGACAGCCCATCAGAACACAAAGCAGTAGGTAGAAAGCCAGAGTGAGCATAGGGCACCCTAGCACAGAGGAGGGGTGGGGCGTGCACAGAGAGCTTCTGGGAGGAGGTCATTTCCTGAGCTTCCTTTAAAAAGCAGCACTCTTCTGCAGATGCACACGATGAGGGTACCTGATGAGAGAGTGAGATGAGGTTATCAAGAGCCCACAGCCTGCCTTATCTCTGCAGCATCCTTGGGTGGATGCGCAGAAAGTCTGCCGGGCGGTTCTGAGAAAACGATGGGGGGCACAGTGGGTGATGAAGTTAAAGAGGGAGGTGGGGCCGGCTACACGTGGAGGACTCATGTGCTTGCTAAGAGGCTTGCATGGCAGGTTACTGGCTTTCAAACAGGGGAAGGGTCTCAGGAGCCAAGTGGGGACCCAGGCCATGGGGCCTTCCTAGATGTGGGGTTGTGGATACTACTACATAATAAGAACAGGCCAAAAAAGGGGGTAGAAAGAGCTTCCCCACAAAGGGAGTGAAGGTTTGGGACAGAGAGTCGAGCTTAGGGCCTGGACAGAATTAACAGTTAGGTATGGCTGAGGAACAGGATGCATTTAGTGGGGGGGTTATCAAAGACAAGACTAAAGGGACTAAAGGGAAGGGAGTGCCCAGCTCCCACACCCAACATTAATGAACCATGGAAGACCACTTACATGCTCTGTTCGGGTTAGCACATTTAGCAGTTCAGTGCTAAAAACAGCGTACAGGTTTTAAATTCCAGCTATTCTTCATACCAGCGCCAAGAAATACTTTCTGACATACAGCCTAAGCCCCCTCTTAGTCGAATCACATTCTGGCTGAGCCCAGATCCCAGAGCTTATCTCGGTAGCTGTCTTCTGTTCGTGCCATCCACCACCTGACTCACAGGCTCCCACTGCCCAGTTGACAGAGCTAAGTAAGACGATTCCACTGTTTCCTTATCATCCTGGCTGCACTTCTTTAAACTCACTGCAATTTGCCTTCAGCAAACACTGTCACAACTCAAGATGGATTGTCATTGTTTCTCCTCCAGGAATGTGCAATAAATGGATCGCACGCTAAGTGCCTGACAATAATGATCAGAGTGACAGGGGAAGATAAAGAAATTAGTCAAGGATACAGAAAGGACCGAGGCAGTACTGAAGCCAACAGCAGTGAGCTCTCGGGAAAAGCAGCAGAACCAAGGAGATGGTTAGAAAAGGATGCCTGGAAGAGAAATAATTCTTCTTTGAAAGCAAAGGAAACCAAAGGCTCTCTATTTCTTCAGTTGCTGAACACCTATCATGGGCAAGCACCCTATCGGGTGCTAATCTTCCCGGTCAGAAATGACCTAGAAGAATGGATTCGATCATGCTGGTGTATTTCTCATGAGAAATCAATACGGTATTCTTCTGATAGAAGGTCAGTAACAAGCAGCCGTGTGAGTTAAAGCTGAAGGAGAAATATGCATACACAAACACACACAAAGAGCCACACCTACAGTGTTTTACGTGGTGAGAATCACTGTGTACTAGTGAATCTATAGATCAGGCAGTGAGTCAAAAAAGAGAAAAACCCCAGCCTGTGCTTGGAGGCTGTCGCCCAGCCCCGAGTGCTGCGAGCCCATGGTCTGGATGCTCTGACTCTATACTGGTGCCACTGCGACTGCATAAGCTTGTTAGCAGCCACTGGTCCTGTATTCTCAAATGAAGATCATGACAAAGAAGCTCCCTGGGTCTTTTTCAGATGAAATGGCACCAAGTCAGGTACCAGTTGACTTGCCATTTGCAGTTGCAAGAACGTAAATTTACTTGTGTGAGGTAGTTTCAAGCCCATGTTCCAGATTCGGGTCATTAATTCATTAAATAACCAGAGACTCATCATCTCCCACAAAATAAACATACAAACAAATTCCCAAAGCCACCAGGGTTGGCAGCGGAGAGAAAATCTCCACATGGACAGGAGTGGCTGGACCATACAAGAACCATACAAGTGTTCTAGAGAAGCAGCAGCAATGTTCTGGCGTGGCCCCTTAAACACAGCTCTCTCAGAGCCTGGAACCCACACCCACACCCTGTGGGCCCCAGACTCCCCTCCCCAGCACAGGTCATCCTCCCTTCCACCCGGGCTGGGGGAGAAAGTGTCCCTTGCACTTCTGTAGAATCCAGGCCCAGGACAGGAAAGCCTAGAAAGGAACGTTTTCCTCTTCCCTCTTGTCCAGAGCTCACCTTCCAGGTCTCCATGGCCTACCCTGGGATGGGGACATTGACAAAGCTCACACCCTTCTGGGAGGGATCCACCCTGACCCACAGAGGTGCGACCTTACCCTCCCCATCGGCACATGGGCATGCTTCCCATGAAGTTTTTTTAAAAAGACTAATTCATGGTCACACCCCTAAAGATGCTTATGATATACATTGGGGCAGGGAGCAGGAGGGGTTAAGAAAGAGTACAAATAAGGGTGTGGATGGGCTGAGATGGAAGTATGATGCCTTACAGAGGAGGGGGTTGTAGCAGTTTCCAGGCCATGGTGCTTGGACAAGTTTGGCAGCTGTGACTGGTGAGCTGACTCCCAAAAGGCAAGCAGGTGTCTGCAGGTGAGCGAGTGGAGAGGCTGGCTCCAGGCAGAGGACAGCACAAGCAAGGCCCACCACTTGTCCTTTGCTCCCCCCAGTGTGGGCCCCGAATGACAGGGACCATATTTCTCCATCTCTGCACTCCCCACAGTGCTGTGCCACCTGGCATGGTGCTTTACCCTTATTGGAAGCTCAGTGGATGATGGTTAAGGGAATTATAATAAATCCAACATATTAGCTGTTATTTCCAATATATATCATAGGCCAATATGTCAACCTGAAAAGTGTTCTCCATGAGTCTTCATGAGAGCAAATCTGGGCCAAAGACAGAATATTTGAACAACAATATTTTCCCCATCAATAAAATCAGAAAGAATAAAATCATTTTTCTGAAATATAATTTATTTAAAATACAGAGTACATACTCTTAGGTTAAAAAAAAAATCATAACTTACCTATGTCATTTCTCCTTGATACACCACTTGGATTCTCCAAATCCTGTATTTTAAATGAAAGAGAAAAAGACAAGTCTCGTCACATAACAAAGCTGGCAATACACTGAATAAATACATGCCATGTACTGCTGCCTTCCTGAAGCATGAGACCAACACCTGCGGGAACAAAGTAGCAGGGCGGGACTTCTGCACCCCACAGACCTCTGGATGGGGCTGCACCTTTCTCACGTGGTCGTGGGCAAGATGCTTAATGAGCTGAACTCTTTCCTCCAGCGTAAAGCGAACGCTTAACTGCTTGATGATGTTCTTGGAAGGGTTCACTTTAAAAACCGTGCACACCATCAAGCATGTGCAAACATCAGAGAGCCTCAATTCTGGCAGGTGTTCCTCATGAAGCTGAGCTCCACTAACTACTGTACTTTATCATCTTTTGGGCTCAGACATCCTGTCATCTAGAACGTTACCATGCCGGCCTCTCCTACCTAAGCAGCAGCCCTAGGAGCCTGCAAAGGGCCTCGGAGGAAGTCGGTCTATGGTGGCCAGACATAGAAATCCGGATGTGGGCACAGACATTTCTGACCCTGACTCTGTCTAATTCAAAGGAGGAACTCTCAAAAGATTTCTTTGGAAAAGTGCAAAGCGTCAGCAGATAAATCTGCCATCTTCACCATCTTCTCTGCAGTCTAAGGAGGAATTTTCTCCCTAATCGCCCTTCTCTGCTTTCAGCAGCCATATGCTATAATTATGACAATTGGACGGTGGCAAATATCCTTCAATTTTCCTCGCAGACTGCAACATGAAATGTGGTCGTGAGCCTTTACCAACAAAACTGGGAGCAGCCTACAAGCTGAGAGACGCATCCATGAAGAGACGCGCCCTCTAAGGAAGCCAAAGGGACTGTGGCAATGGACAGGGAGGAGAGAAGGCCACACATAGCGGAGTGGCTGCCTTCAGCGGCACATTCTGAAATTACCTTTGTCTCGAGAATAGAGATGCCACTCGGTAGAGGAGAACCCATAGTTGCATGCTGATTTGTTAGCTCTCAGGATCAAGTGACTTCATCCTGATAAAACATGTAACTTCTGGAAGAGCCCACTAAAAAGACTGAAATCTCAACCCTATTCTCTGAATGCGCTGAGCCGAAGCCAGGTTATCGCCCACTGCAAGTCAGCCTGTGCAGACTCCTCGTGTGGCCCATCCTCTAAACACCACTCCTGACCAGGAGGACGACCAGGACAACCTGCTCTCGGGGAAGGAGCTGGCTTCAGCTCCCGAGGCACCACTCGGCTCTCACCGTCAACCTGCTGCCTGCCCCAGGCCACCACTTTGGCTGCCAGATGAGGCTCATGGAAAAAGAGAATCATTAGATCTAAAAACAGCATTGGCTATGATCCAATCCAACACTCTCCTTTCACAAATGAGACAACAGAGGCTCACAAAAGATAAAGGATTTTCCCAAGGCCCAGCGGTCACTCCAGTCACAGGAATGGGATTAAATCCCAGGTCTCCTGACTCCTTCCCAATGCTCCTTCTTCACACCACCACGGTATGTGCCCAGCCTTCCTCCCGAGATGTTCTCTAGGAAGTACACATCATTAGATGCGAGCATATTGTGAGAATAAGCTAAAAGTAACAGCAACAACAAAAGTCACCTTTATCAACAAGTTGAAAAATGAGAAATATCTGGAACGCTGTAGTTCCAGATTGAGCAACTCAAACAAGCTGCAACAATAACTGGACTTTCTACCAGATTCTTTGTGAAATCAAAGAAAAGCAACCGAAATTATGAATCTTTATTTGTTATTAAGCACTGCAGCTCAGGCTGGCTGACACAATAGCTAGGAAATGATTAGCTGTTTCAAAGGGCTCAATTTGTAAACTGTAAAAATTAAATATCCAAGGAACAGTTGAATTAGGTGAATTGAGATGGAACCAAAATGGTCTTGACTAATTTCCCCTTTGAGAAAGAAAATTAGGCGAAATGAATGAATTAACAGAATACTTAAAATTCTGTCTCCAGCTTCCCTCGTGAAAAGGCTTAGTTCTTCCCAAGGAGAAGAAAACACGTGGTTGATTTCATTATTTCTTCTGCCACATGTTTCTTACACTGACTTGCAGTATCAATCAAAATGTGCTCACTGTCAAGGTTTTGTAAGTCAACTGAACTGCTACTCAGATATAAAAGAGATTTGTTCTTAAAGCATCTTAACCAGGGGTCCTCAAGCTTTTTAAACAGGGGGCCAGTTCACTGTCCCTCAGACCATTGGAGGGCCGGACTATAGTTTTAAAAAAAACTATGAACAAATTCCTGTGCACACTGCACATATCTTATTTTGAAGTGAAAAAACAAATGGGCAAAAGCACCGGCATGTGGCCCGTGGGCTGTAGTTTGAGGACACCTGATCTTAACCCACAGACAGCTCCCATCCCGGCCAGGAAAGGACATATCCAAGTCACTCTTTCACACAGATGTCATTTTTTTTAAGCCACGATGGATTTAAACACTTGCACTCCATATATGTAATGCTTTGTTTTTAAGTTCTTCATTAAAAGAAGACATAACATCCTTAAAAGAATTTGATATGAACTCTTTCAAGAGGAAAGGGGAAGTAAAACAGAATCTTCCACTCGGTCATGATTATCCACCACCACCTTCTAGTGTCTGAATAAAATACACAGGAAGTGTTCATCAGTGCACTCAGCACGAGGCCTGGGCCCTAACGCTGCTTCCACGCCATTTATCAGCTCAGGCCTCAGTGTCCCCAGGAATAGGAATAATAATTACAAGACCCACCTCACAGGGCTACACTGTGAGTTGAATGAGATGATAAAATGCTGTGCACAGTGTCTGCACAAAGCAAATGCTCAGCAGTCATTGGCTACTACTCCTCTGTCACCATCATCGTCAACTACTACTTCACATGAAGCAACGACCAACGTGAAAGAAATTTAACTGATAAAAGCAGTTAAAAAGCAGGTCTACAGTGCCTCGTTTTGTTTCCTTTTGTTTAGGTAGAACAGATATTTATGAAAGTCTGCATAATTTAAATAGGACCTGGTACAGTTCTAAGTTGTCTCTCTCTCACACACACACACACACACATGCACACGCACACGCACGCGCGCACACATACACACACAATCTTCAAAACAGCCCTTTGAAATAGGTCCTATTACCCCACCTTAGAGATGGGGAAGCTGAGGCACAGCGAGGCTCACTAAGTCCCACACTGGTCAGTGGTGAAGAGATGAACTGCCGCATTCTGGCTCCAGTGACCAGCTTCAGCCTTATGTCACACGGGTGCAGTGGCACAAGCCACTGTGGGATGTAAGACCAGGCAGGCTGAAGACAGGTACGTGGCCATGGCAGAGGCAGCACCTGTGGCCTGGAGGACAATCCTGCAGGGGCAGGCCCCTTGACAGCTGTCGCAGGTCAGAATCCAGGACACTGCCAGGCACCAGGAACTGGGGAAGGAAGCCGGGCCCAGAGGTCAGGCCCCAGACAGCGGCACCCCAGGGCACCAGCACACAGGACCCTGATGACAAGCTAAACTCAAGCCCAACCAGTGAGCCTGCAGGTTGTCTGGGGAGAAAGCCAGCCCCAAGTAGGGCTGGCCTGCATTTGACAGACAGCCGGCGGGGGGCCCCTGACTAAGACAGGCAGGGAGCAGAGATGGGCAGAAGGCAGTCGTTTCAGGGCGGCAATGTCAGGGCAGATCCTGGTCAACTCTACCGTGAGTAATGAACTAATATAATAACTGAAAATCCACGTTATTGTTCAGAGCCTTAAATCCTATCTCCGGGTTCATGTACAGACTTTGGACAACTTTGGACAAATTAATTCTCGTCCATCTCCTGGTCTCGGGCACGGTGCACAGCACACATTTCATCACTGCCTCTCCTCATGGCTGTGTAGCCTACAAGTAGATGCAGTTAATTTTCAAGTGTTTTAACCCCTCTGCATGAAAAATGACACTAAGATATAAGACTCGCCTTATCTGTTTATATGTATGTATGTATTTAAAGCAAAGGATATAGTTCTCATACTTGAAAACATGCACTACAATTTTAAATTCATTAAACAAAATTTTAATTCCCTTGTAATAACCCTTAGAGAGCACTTTAAATTCAACACAAATGACGCTTATTATTGCCAAACACACAAAATATAATGCACAGGGCTGTGTAATATGAAACAGTGACCATGTGAAAAATTCAAAGATTCAGAAAATTTGGATTCTAACTTTACCTTTTAATAATCATGTGACCTTGCTCAATCACTTAACTTCTCTGATGTTAAGTTTTCTCTTTTGTAAATGGGAGTATGTGCTTTGCTTAGCAATAACAGGATCATTGAGAAGATCAAATTAAAGCAAATCCATGAAAGTGCTTTACTAACCATAAAGGGTCTTAAAATCCTAAGAAATTATTATTATCACTTCCCCTGTGTAGGACTCCCATAGCATAGTTAGAACAGATAACACTCTATTGATAAAAGAAACACTCTATTAAAAATGCTTTTATACCAATTGTGGGGTAAAAAGCAGAGTCTAGGCCGGGCATGGTGGCTCACGCCTGTAATCCTAGCTCTCTGGGAGGCCGAGGCGGGCGGATTGCTCAAGGTCAGGAGTTCGAAACCAGTCTGAGCAAGAGCGAGACCCCATCTCTACTATAAATAGAAAGAAATTAATTGGCCAACTAACATATATAAAAAAAATTAGCCGGGCATGGTGGTGCCTGCCTGTAGTCCCAGCTACTTGGGAGGCTGAGGCAGGAGGATTGCTTGAGCCCAGGAGTTTGAGGTTGCTGTGAGCTAGGCTGACGCCATGGTACTCACTCTAGCCTGGGCAACAAAGTGAGACTCTGTCTCAAAAAAAAAAAGCAGAGTCTATTGTTGTTTTAATTAATATGATAAAAACAACTGATATTTTAAAATACTGTTTCTGTTTCTCACATGCTAAGCTGATCTAGTGCAAAGCCCAAAGAGTAAATCTGTACAGAGGTTCCTGAAGGCAACCAGCGATGAAGCAGCAGCTCTGAGATCTGGACAAGAGCTGCCCTGTCTCCATCAGCCCCCAGGCCCAGGTTTCTGGTTCCGACTGCACAAGGGGTCTGGCAGCACAGTCACCTCTGGGGTCCCCAGCATGCCCCCTCACATGGCACCACCTTCAAGGCAACAGTCATCAGGCTCATGTGTGACCCCTGTGAGATCGCAAAATTCTTTCACAAACTGGGAAAGTTAAGCCCAAGGTTAAGCCATGATATGCCTGGGGAAAACTATGGCATCCCAGCAAGATTGTTAAAATGTCTAACGCTATGTCAAAACACCTTTTCTCTTAAAAGGACTTTAAAACCTAGTGGTTAAGCAAGTCTATCTTTAGGCTGCTGTTAGGGCTTCAAAGACTATGTTGACCAAAATTATATTAATTCATACAACCCAAAAAAACAAAAAGAAACACGATAACAATTGAAGAATGAAACCACTACAGTTCCCATTCAAGAAAATATGAACAAATCTCAGAGGGGAAGAGTAGATTCCATCATTAGAATTAGTACCTGAGACCGCATGACCTCTTTCTTTGCATCTTCAGAAACCAAAGCAAAAGCTGGGGAAAAAAAGAAAAATTATCACATTAAAATGAGCAATTCAGGTTCATTCTCACATTCAACAGTTTTGCTTATAATAAGGGGGAAAAAGATACTTTAACAAGACACGTTTTGCTCATTTTTAAGCAGCTGCACTGCTGCAAACTAGTATTACTGGCTTTCTTCATCTCAGACCTAAAATTATTCATCGACACGAAGCCAACATGCTTAGGCTACCAAGCAAAAGAAACAATACCTCAAACAAATTAAAATCTACGTACCACTTGTGTCTATAGATATAAACTACACAACAGATGTATATAAAATACTACTACTTAGACACCTTAATTCTTGTGCCTTTCTGAGCAAAGGAGAATTCCTGAGAATCCAGAGGGAAGAAGTACAAATTCCCACCCTCAAATCACTGCCAAAGCCTGGCAGGCAGCAGAGCTAAATTTGGAGTGAGTTTTTTCTTAGTGGCTGTGGGGTTAGAAGCATGGTACAGATACTGCTGCCAGCCAGCACAGAACCCCACAAAGTCCTAACAGAACCTACCAAGGCCTTGGGGCCAGGAGAGCAGCAGGGAACTAAAATCACTCCCCACTTAGAAATGATTTAAGGTTTTCAGTCCATAATAGACAAAGATATCCCTAGAGATACATGTAAGGTCTGCATTAAAAATAATAGCAAAATGACAGTAACACTTTGAAAATGTAAAGCAAAATCATAAGCCAACAGGTAGCTTAACAGCACAAAAAATAATACCTTAACCTTAAGTGCATTTCACCTGAAGAGCTAAGAGGAAAGCATTGCATGGAGTTTGCTTTCTCCAATTAGCATTTCTAGAAGCAAATGGGCAATGCCACAGAGCAGTGATGTACTGACAGGGTCAGAGAGGCAATACCACGGAACAATGAGTGTCGGCAGCAGGGCTAGCTGGGTGGCAGAGGAGACCCTACTCAGACCGGGAGACAGCTTCACCCATTCGGATTCCTTCTAATTCCTTCCCCAGTCCCACCTCCTGACATCCACTGCCTCAAATTCTCCATTAACATTTGCTCAAAGGAAATAATCTAAAACATATTCACACTAAGAACCAAATGACTAACATAGTTTAAACGTTTCCATTTCCAGAATGACATTTCGAAAGGCAGGGTGAAATTGAAACGTAAGCCAAGTGAACCTCTACATGAGGAATTTAGATAACAGCAGATATGAGTGACGCCTCCCTGAGACACCCCAGATGAAACTGAATCCTCAACACCACCCCGTCCTTCTCCGCCTCACTCAACTTCACTACCCTCCAGAGAGGGGGCCCCAACCTATGGTGAGTTTCACAATTATTTCATTGTATATTACAATGTGATAATAATAAGTGCACAATAAACGTCATGCACTTGAATCAACCCGAAACCATCTCCCCCTCCCCGTGGAAAAATTGTCTTCTGTGAAAACGGTACCTGATGCCAAAAAGGTTGGGGACTGCTGCTCCAGAGCACTGATCAGCCACTGACATCAGGTATGTTTAAATATATTTATTACTTACCTTTCAGTCTGTGTCAAGCTCCATGAGGGCAGGAATATAGTTTTATTTACTGTTTTATTTACCCCCACCCCAAGAGCACAGCTGGCACCTAGAGAGAGCTCAATACATATTCACTGAATGAATGAATGAAGGCAAGTGTTCACTAGGGTCCTAGGGTTGTGCCACTTAAGAGCTGCCTAATCCTTATCCTAGGCAGTGTCAACCCAGAAAAATGGAGGAGTTTAGTGTGCCTCAATTTATTTTTACCAGGATCTGAACCATTTTCTCACTTTTTACACTTATTTACACACACACACACACACACACACACACAGGAAAAGCAAAGCCCAAATCATGCATCACATTCTAAGAAGAACAGAGAGACTGAACTCCAAATGCCATTAAATTCTGCTCCTGGGCACTTACATTTTTTTGTTTTGTTTTATTGTATTTACCTCCAAGCTAATATGCACATTGAAAAACCTCAAGAAGGTATCAAAAATAGAATTATTTAATGAATATCATAGTTGGAGGTTGCAACATATTAACATAGCTTAGCACCCCAGTTCCAGAAAACAGACATTCTGAGAACTTACAGGATATTTAAAAACTGTAGTCAAACTAATTCATGACTTTGATTCAAAAACCCATCCGCCCAACCCCAATCAATTCCTAATTCCAAACACAGACAAAGATTTCCGAGTTAGTATTTTTCTTTGATCAAGTAAAATAACTTTCTCAATTTAGCAGGTTCAGTGACATCATCTAATAACCAGCATTTACTTTTACCTCACTTTTTGACAAGGCCAGACAGCTATATGACAAAGGAGTGTATGTGAACACAGAAGCCACCGGCCCATAGTATAGTCTATAGTGCAGGAAACTGGTACTGGTCCCGGGAATTACTAATGCATCACCTCTCATGAGTAACCAGCTAATATTAACTGTTTAAAGCAGGAATTACATAGGAGGAGGATATTGCTAATAAATCAAGTGAATTCCACAAACCCTTCTTGTCAGAATCAAGACGCCTTGCCTTTACTCAAACAAGGCTTAAGTGAGCTGAAGTTAAACCATATTCCAGTTCTACCCCCAAACACGGACCTAGAATTAAAATAGCCTTTAAAACAAACAAACAAAAAAGCTTGTCATTTCTACCCATCGCTCTGTTGCGAAATTAAAAACTCCTTTTTCCCGTGATAGATATAAATTATATACTATTTAAAGCAATGAAATAAGAAATGCATCAGAGATACTTTCAGTCACAAGAGCAAATCATAAGGCAAGATAATACTCATTAGACGAATACTAAAAATAAAGTGCCAATTGGTTTTATTGGTACATTTCCATAACCAAAATAAAACAAAAGAAATCATCAAGGAACCAAATGTATTTTAAAGGCACAGAATATGCTATGCCACTAATAAATCAATCTTAAAATAATGAGTCATTTAGAGAAGTCCTCCCAACAAAATCCCGGTTTCATCTGCCTGTCACGTTCAATAAGTCTAACAAGAGCGCCCGCCGCAGTGGGCCTGGGCTGGGGAGTGAGAGGAGGAAGGAGGGAGGGACAGATCCCCTCCTGTCCCCACCAAGGGGCACACAGGCGTGGCCCCCTGGGGCTCAATGTCTGCTGTTTGCTTTCATACTAATTTCCAGATTCAGCAGGGAAAAATACCCTTGAAAACTTGGGCTGAGTGCATTAATGTGCAGTTTGAGAAACATTCCAAGGTAAATCGTGCTTTTCTATGTCAAATTGTTGTTTAAAAGTAATTTTCCCTTTTCTATTTTCAACACGAATTCTGGTGATGGCAACAGGGAACTATATTTAAAGTGCAAATCAGGGCAGGCAATAGAAATTGGACCCTTTTCATGATAACTTTAAATAATTCAAGCCAATGAATGTGTTCGCACACCTATACAGGGAGATAAATCAAGATTTTACAACTAACCTGGGACTAAGATTTCTAGGCCAGCTTAAGCCCCCGGGTGCAAGAAAACTGGCCCATAATTAATTGCACTGCATTTGAGCAGCGCTAATTAACTATCTTCCCCTGTTCCTGGGAGGGGTGAGGGCCCCACTCCCAGCCAGGAAAGAGGACTGTGCTCCTAACTTGATCTTATTCCTGCTCTCCTGATCCGTCTTCCCAAACTCTCCCAGGAGCATCTATCATAGAAACCAGGTGAAACACAAAGGACAAGGAACAGCTCAGGTGCAAATCACCCCCTTGGAGGGCACAGCCGGGTGCGTAAGTGGGGCATGCAGCAAGTAGAAAGCCCAGCGACAGCTGCGGGCGCTGATAGCTGTGGTGACACTGTCAGTCTGGGCAGGGTCTAGGTACCTGTGCCCTGCACACAAGCCAGGAGGGAGGGGACAAAAGCTGGTGCCTGTGGCCCTGCTTTTCATGGGGACACCTCCTAGAAGCCATGTGGCTCAGGCTCTCTCCCTCCTCCCACCACACCGGGAGGGAGCCTTTGGGGACTCGCTTTCTATCCTGTGACCTACTTACAAAACGTGTCCCCAGCGCAGCAGCTCCAGCCGCCAGAGGCTCCCTCTCCCTGGAGCTTTCCGGATGAGTCCCAGGTCCTGGGGGCCTGAAGCTCCAGGACTCACGGCCCACAGCCAGGTGACTGCCTGGAGTGACTGCTTCAAAGATGATCCGTGGCAGCAGAGGGGACAGAAACAAACGCACTCGCGGCGCAGCGACAGGGGTAAGGCCTGCCTCTGCCTCACCCTCCTCGACACACCCACTGTCCCTGCAGGAGCAGACACGCTGGGGACGTCACCCACGGTGCGGCACCCCCCACACCAGAGAACGGGGGTCTGTCACCCACACGGGAGCACGAAACAGAACCAACCCACACAGGGACAGAGACGCCTGGGGGAGTGACTGGGGTGGGGACCTGATGGGGGCAGTGACAGGGCAGGGACCCCTGGGTGGGGACTCACAGGCTGGGGAAGAGGCCGAGGTCGGCAGGGGCCAGATCAGGACAGGGGCTGGTGCTGTGGCGTCTGGTCTTTTCTGAGGGCCAGGAACAGCCGTGTGAGGCGTTCAAGGGGGTGACGCCACACTGAGGTGAGTGGCCAGGACAGCTTTCTTGAGGTAGTGCACGGAGTGGCTGCAGGGGGACCAGAAAGGACTATGGGAGTGGGCAGGGGTGCTCCAGGGCTGGGCAGGGTGGCAGGAGCCCGGCGCTGGGGCAGGCGGGGGCCAGTGTGAGGACAGCAGAAGCTGCAGCCTGGGGCAGATCACCCAGGAAAGCAGGGCCTCGGGGCTCCAACCCCAGTGACTGGGAGGCTGGAGTGACAGTCACACGGCAGAGGATAAGGGAGGTGGCAGCTGTTTGAGGAAGCTCAATTCTGCTCCGGCATCCTGAGGACACTCACGGGGACACATCCCATGGCGGTGGCCAACATGGAGGGGTGAGATGACAGCGCCCAGCACGGCCGTCACCACTGCACACAGGAGCTGAGGCCACAGCCTGGACGTGTCACCCAGGGCAGCGTGTGGGGCCAAGGACGGGGCAGGGGAACCCCACTGCAGGGACAAACTGCAAAGGAGACTAAAGGAATGACCAGGCAGGGAGAAGCAGGAGAGAAGGCAATTGATTAAGGAATTTTTAGGGAATTCTTTAAAGGAGTTTTTCCAAGGCACTCTCTCCTTACAGCTGCATGGGACAACAAAAAGACACAGCAGCAGGGGACACTCGGGCCCCAGGCCAGGCTGCACTATGAGAAGTCCTATGGCACAAGGTCAGAATACAGTGCCTACATTCGATCCACCTGGGTTCAAACCCAGGCTCTGCCTCTTAGTGGTTCAGCAACCTCTCCCTGGCAGGGGAAACGAAGCAAGAACTAAACCAGCCAGTGTAGTTCAGGTTCAGAGCAGCACCCGGCCTACGGTAAACGCTACAGAGATTTTACCAACCAGTACGCTCTTTACAAAAAGAGATCTGCTTATGGGGGAAGATGCCAGCACAATTCTGCTGCCTCGGCAAGCTGAGAATTGGACAGTATTTGGGGTCAGGGAACCCCTATCTCAGTAGTCCCATGGGTTCCATGGCATTGACAAAGTGATGCAGCCCTCGCAGAGCAGTGAGGAAGGGGCTGGGCCTCCCACCACGGCACGGCAGGAGCTCGGTGAAGACATGCTACTGCTCTGAGCCACAACAACCCGCTCAAACTTGACCTTGCTCTATCCGCAACTCATCTGCTGTTGTATCATAGATGTCAAAGGGAAAACGGAGCTTGGGATACAGGTTTCTCCTCACTTGGCCACCAACTTTGACAGGACCAGTACATTGAAAGGGCAGTAAATGGGAAAAAACGGATAGGAAATAACTGTATATGTTTAGGAGGAAAAGATAATTTCCTTTTTTGATTCATATCTCATTTAAACAATCACTCAGGGCCGGGCGCAGTGGCTCATGCCTGTAATCCTAGCACTCTGGGAGGCCGAGGCAGGTAGACTGTTCAAGGTCAGGAGTTCGAGACCAGCCTGAGCAAGAGTGAGACCCTGTCTCTACTATAAATAGAAAGAAATTAATTGGCTAACTAAAAATATATATATATATAAATTAGCCGGGCATGGTGGCACATGCCTGTAGTCCCAACAACTCAGGAGGCTGAGGCAGGAGGATCGCTTGAGCCCAGGAGTTTGAGGTTGCTGTGAGCTAGGCTGACACCATGGCACTCTAGCCTGGGCAACAGAAGTGAGACTCTGTCTCAAAAAAAAACAATCACTCAGGATATGAAAACCAGAAAATTCCAACTCAAACAGAATTTGGGTTGAGATTAAGCCCTCCCCCCGCCCCATATACACATATGCGTGTTCCATAGCCTAAGTCACAGGAAGGGTCAGAAAGTCCCTGGTCACACTGTCTACCCCACAACACACTGAAGAGGAACACAGAGCAAGTATTCAAACACACACAAAATAGCACTTTGTACAATTTCTTAAAATTGCAAGAGTACTAGTGAACAATTAACTATTAGGCTTCATTTATAAAAATACAATTTACCATTAACTTTTGAGTATCTTTTACAAAAAGTGTATTTTCCCCTGTCAGTACCACTCAATCCATGGTGTACGTCAGCAGTCCCCAACCTTTCTGGCACCAGGGACCAGTTTCACAGAAGACAAATTTCCCACGTGCTGGGGATGGTTGGGGGTGTTGCCGAGCTCAGGCGGTGATGCAAGGCCCGTTTCCTAAGGGGCCACAGCCGTCACCAGGCCATGGCCGGGGGGTTGGGGATACACAGTCTGAGACACCCTGAGCCTTCAGGAACTTACTTGTATATTGTCCAAAAACCTTTGCTCGAACAACTCACTGCTCTAATTTTTGAAACTCATGCTCCACAGACTATGGTCCCTCCAGTAGCATTTGAAAACCTGCCAAATGATGCTGGAACCAGAGAAAGACGCTCCTTAATTTGAGTTCTGGGATTTCTCGCTCCTTTCCCAAGTACACAAAGCACCGGATTGATGAGCAGTAGGCCTCGATGCCATATTTTCCTCTCTCCAGAACAACCCCCTATTTCATTTTAAAGACAAAGCAACCATTGATCATCTTTACATTCTACAGATGTTCACAAAAATCACCCAATAACAGCCCCAGGTTTTACCCAGGCTTGGAGTGGCCCAGGCGGGGTTCTCACACCCAGCTGCACAGACAACTCACCTGGGGGCCTTGTCAAAAATACAAACCCACAGGCCTCACCTCAGATCTTCTGAATGAGAAAATCTGGAGCTGGAACCCAGGAATCTGCATTTTAACAAACAGGGGCTTCTTTAAGACACTGAGCTGATTCTCACGTGTGCCGCAGTCTGACAGGCACTGGAGCGGTCAGCTAGCCAGGAACTCAAGGGAACTGAACACACAGCTATTTTCACAACAGGCCTTGGCCATTTAACTTCCTTTACTTCATTCATCTCGTAAACAAAGAACAAGCTCCCCGTAATTCCCCTCAAGGATTTGGAGAAGATAAATTCAATGTGATGTATAAAGAGCCTTGAGCTTCTTACGGGAAGCAATGATGTAAACTATATCATCTTTTCACTTTCACAAAATATTCCTTTAGGAGTGAAAATAAGTTATATCTCTAGGAGAAAATGGCATTGCTATACTTAAGATACATTCAAACCTTATTTGATGATACTTACCCTCATTTTCCCCTAAACCTGCAGCTTTACAACATGCAGATAAAGACTGTTTTCTTCCCCACTTCTACCAAATCTTTGGTACACATACACTTTGAGTGAGAGCTTAAATAAATTTATTCTGTCAATCAAGGCTCTTCTAAAAATGAAAAGAAAGAAAGGGCGGGAAGGAAGGAAGGGAGAAAGGGAATGTGGGGTTCAGTGGCTCACACTAATAGTCCCATCTACTCCGGAGGCTGTGGCAGAAGGATCACTTGAGCCCAAGAGTTCAAGTCTAGCTTAGACAATATAGCCAGACCCCATCTCTAAAAAAGGAAAAAAAAAACCCACAAAAATCGGGCCAGGCACAGTGGCTCATGCCTGTAATCCTAGCACTCTGGAAGGCCAAGGCAGGAGGATCGCTTAAGGTCAGGAGTTCCAAACCAGCCTGAGCAAGAGCGAGACCCTGTCTCTACTAAAAAATAGAAAGAAATTGGCCAACTAAAAATATATAGAAAATATTAGCCAGAGCTGGGCACGGTGGCTCACGCCTGTAATCCTAGCACTCTGGGAGGCCAAGGCGGGTGGATTGCTCGAGGTCAGGAGTTCGAAACCAGCCTGAGCAAGAACAAGACCCCGTCTCTACTATAAATAGAAAGAAATTAATTGGCCAACTAATATATAGAGAAAAAATTAGCCGCGCATGGTGGCACATGCCTGTAGTCCCAGCTACTTGGGAGGCTGAGGCAGCAGGATGGCTTGAGCCCAGGAGTTTGAGGTTGCTGTGAGCTAGGCTTGACGCCACGGCACTCACTCTAGCCTGGGCAACAAAGTGAGACTCTGTCTCAAAAAAAAAAGAAAGAAAGAAAGAAAGGAAAAAATTATCCAGGCGTGGTAGTGCATGCCTGTAGTCCCAGCTACTCGGGAGGCTGAGGCAGGAGGATCACTTGAGCCCAGGAGTTTGAGGTTGCTATGAGCTAGGCTGACGCCACGGCACTCTAGCCCGGGCAACAGAGTGGGACTCTCTCAAAACAAAAAAAAATCTACTTAAATTGACACCTAGCATAAGGACCCCCAAATACCTCCCTAGCTGACCTCTCCTCTGGGCTTCAGACCCAAACATGTAACTACTCACCTAATGTGGAACCTGAAAGTCACACATGCACCCCAAAGTCAACTTGTCCAAAACAACTGCTCAGCCTCACTTCCACATAAAAGTCAAAGTATATTTCAGAAAACGTCAGGATACTTAATGCTTCAGAACTGAACACTTAAAATTTATTACATCTTACATATTTTGTCATGCACATTGAACCACAATGAACAAACTTCTTTTTATCCTGTCCTTCCCCATTAGTGCCTAAGTCAGTAAACAGCACGACTTTCCAGAGATAGTGACAGAAATTGGTGACTCATCCCTGTCCCCGTCCTTTCTCTCAGCCCACTGTTCCCAATCGATCACCAAGACCTAGAGATTCTTAATCATTTCATACCTGGCTGTAGCCAGCACAGCCCTCCCCCCCACTCCGCCCGCCCCCCACTCCTGTTCCACAGGACAACCAGAGTGAGCTTCATAAAACATTAGTCAAATCAGGCCCTGCCCCCTTACAGCCCCCTGAACGCCTCCCACTGCTGGGAGGACACAGCTCAAAACCTGTCACCTAGTCTGCAAGGCCCTGCCCCTCTCTCGGACCCTCCGGTCCTCTGTCCTTTCTC